TGAACGATTAATTCATTTTGCATCGTTTTTATTGAAAATAATTTTCTGTGTTCACGATTTGTAAATATTTCTTCGTGATATGTGGCCTTATACTTTTTTTTCTTGTTAGATTTTCAATTGATCTAAACTCGTTTGCATATTTTTTTTCTGTTGCTAGGTCGAATTCGCTAATATGTGAAGAAATAATGTAGTCTCATATCTTACAGGCTTCTCCAATATATGGTATGGTCTTAGAACCAAGAATCAGTCATGATGAAATGGTCACATTTTCTGATTTTGCATCAGGCCACTACTTTACATATCCAGTAAAACGTAGTCTGAGTTAAATATATATTTCGTTTATCTTTGCGATTACAAACAACACCCTTGTGTATTTATTATTTAAAATTACGAGCCAAACACATACATAGTATAAGCTAAGATGATGGATTACTGAATTTTGTGTGGCTACAAATTTTTTTTAAAAAGAACTATGATCGGAAACCATGTATATAAAAATTACCAAGATCTCAACATTGTCCTATTATTATGACTAAACTACTGATACAATCGTGAACGAAAATAGAATTAAAAACAATTGAAATGACATGATAGTTAAAAGTATCTTTTTACTTTTGTTGAACACATGAAACACAAGTATAGGAGAACTTGGATCTGCTTTTTAGCTAATACCGTATGAATTTGTATTTGTTCTTCACATACAGTATTTTTGATATAACAGATTGTATCCATAAAAATTTAACCTAGAAAATAATAGCTTGTAATAATACTAATCAGTTTTAATCTTCCTCACATTAATATGTTCAGGGTTGTTTTATGACTTAAAGTTAAATAAATAAAATACAATAGTAATAAATAACAGACTGTAGCGTACAAATTAATATTAAAATTGTAACAGAGTTAGAAATCAAGTCTTAAATGTCAATCACGTTGTTCCTATGTTGGGATGTAATATGGTCCCTCATTTAATTTATTTGACATTCTTGTAGAAATGAATATCTGATGTCTACTAACTGAATACTTAAAAAACTGGATTCGTTCATCCTTAAATTGGTTGGTATATGTTTATCTGTAATCATACACAAATTCATCAATTTCCAGAGATTCACACTTATATTACCAAGATTTCAAATTACAATAAGAAAATTTTATTCTTTACATTAAATGTTACTTATTACTAATGGCAGGAATTTGTTATTTATCTTGATTTCTAAAAGTTGTTTCTTATACTTGTCTCCATAGTTATTTGATTTGTATTTCTAACATATTATTGACATTCTAATATGTAGATAAAGGTTCATAAACTGGTCACTAATTTATATTGTTGACATACAAGAATTTTTTACTCCTTATGATCTAATTATTTCTTACTTATTCATATCTCCTGTTCTTATTGTCATTGCTTATCCTAGAAAGCATGACAAACCAGCATGTGATAGACTAGAAAGTAAATGTCAAGATGATTCATTCTTTGTTTATCGTTCTTTTCACCATTATTACTATTATTTCTCTTAACTCGTTAAGTAACTATCTAGAAATGTTTAAAATGCCGTGTTATATTCACTTTTTATCTATCCATTCTTTAGTAAAACTCATAATTTTTCCTTCTGTTTACGTATTACTATTTCATTCTTCCTATTTATACATAACTAATTATATACTGACCAATGTTAGACCACTGGACGGCCGTTTTTTTCAATATGGAACTTCTCAGCGATGCACATGAGTCCCTGATGCGAAACCCAAACGTAGGACTCTCGGTCTCGCGCAAACGCTTGACCTCCAGACCATCGAGTCGTGATCCAAGTGTTAATGTCTAACATCAACCAGTCAACCATATTGCGCGAACACCTCCCACTGAAGAAACGGCTGTCCAGTGCTTTCTGGTTTTCAGTGGTGGTTTAACATTGATCAGTTCATGATCTCAATTAAAACTTAACAATCTCCACAAACCCATACTGAGAATTATATACGCTTACTGCGAATTCTGATTGTTACGCGTTGTCTAAACTATTGCGGTACAATTTGTGTGGGAGTTTTTATAGTTGTAGTTGTCAGATTATCAGATGCATTATATAAATATACTGAAGGTTGCTATTATGTACATGTATACCTTCCAATAAATTAATGGAAGATTGTAACGCAATAATAATAATAATAATCCTACGTAAGCTTATGTAACAGATTAGAATCGCCTGAAGAGCTATCTAAAACCAAATATTGCCCATATATTTACTAGTTATTGGCGTTGAGATGGACTGCTGAAATTCTGGTGATAGGTTGTGCTTACTGGAGTTCAGCCATGCCTGGCAGAAAGCGGTTATCCATAAATGATATCAGATGATTAAATTGATCAAACCTGGAATGTGAAATATTATCTTCTTACTCAGTGAACCAAATAAATAACAGTTTCCTCGAAATCTGAAAGTTCGGGGTTCATTTTTGTGAAGTTTTGTGTGTTCACGGATAACGAGTCCTAAGAGCAAACCAAAATAATTACCTCCAGCTTAGGTCGATATGTGATGAAAATCTTCAAGAATTACTCAACCATTTGATTTCTAAGAATCTGTAGAATATTTCACACTCATCAAGTTACTATTTTTAATACTTCTTGTTCTTGTTATCATCACCATTAATTAAATTGTCTACTATGGTTACATGTTTTATTCAAAGTTGCGTTGTGTGTTCACAACGTTTGTATGTCTGAGACATATTTTATGACGTACACCAATAACACACGTCAAGTAGTTAAGCATAAACAATACTATCGATTAGAATTTCAGCTGATTTACCAAACTGTCGTTTATTATTGACATTTTAATGAAACCAACATTAGATTATCTATGATATTTTTTAATTGTCTAGTCTTGGGACATCAATAATTGCTGGATAGATGAAGGAAAAAATTGAGAAAAAGCATTGATAATTTAGAGATAGACTATCGATATCAATAAAAGCCAATGTTTAAATCTTAATTAAATAATTTCTCTAACAAATCGAAATACTCTTCATACCACCATCAATTAAGGGATTTTACATTTGCGAAAGAATGATAGGATTTCACAGGAGGAAATAGTTGAAAAAGATTCTAGTCAAGGCAAAAAGGGCTATAAACCTGTCGTTATATATATCATGGAGACAGAAACCGTTGGTTTGAAGATTTTACGGTATTCCCCGCGTTAAATATACTTTCTTATTTATACGGTCTTATTTATTTTTCATAGTTTAGTTTTCTTTCAAAGTGTTATTCATCTTAGTACTTGTTTGTCAGTGTGTTCCACTCGGCATAATTTCTGAATCTGTTTCTGTATTAATGATGAATCGATAAGCTCGGAAATAGATTATCATATTTAACACATATTTCATTCTTAATACGTGTATATTATAGACACGAGAAGAAAGAGACTATTAAAAAAGATATTTTTGTCAGTTGAGATCTTCAGTTTTTACTTCCGTTCACTTTCTATTCTAGTTTAAGAGTCACACTAGGATGTATGTGTTTTTGTAAAGTTTACTTTCCTTTCAGTTTATTAATGTTGTATTGCGTAATATACGCTGTTCAGCTTTTTTCAAACCTTTCGAGAAGATAGTTTTATGATGGCTCTCATAATGTAAACGGGGAAGGTTTATCATCATGACTATTGCTGTAATCAAATATCTTACTAATGCCCGTTCACTACTTGAAAGTTCCACATGTATACATATACGACTTATGCAACGTAACTTCCTCTTGTTAACTAGCTAAGCATACAGACGATTATTTTAACTTTAAAATCTTGAACATTTACATTTTGATTGATTTCATTTGAAGAAACGTCAAAACTGAAACGGTAAAAATGTAATATTTTATTTATCAGGCAATATTCGAAAGTCAGTTTATGTCATAGTCTTTTTAAACAATCTAACGAGTAACATTTGAACTGGATTTAATGTCGTTTAGATTATTATTAAAGTTGTGTAGCTCGTAGGCATTATGTCACAAAAATTTTGTTTAAGAAAGTTATGAACATTCCCTGACCTTACGTTTTAATGATAGTCGGAACAAAATCTAAATAAACCAAAATTTACAATGATGCAAGGACAAAACATAAATAATATTGAGTTATATTATATGATGCTAAGCTATCCGGTCATACTAACAGTGTTTGAATTACAGTTATCTCTTAGTGATTTGAGAAGAGGCAGGATACTTAAATTCATATAAATATGATGAAATTCATGAGAGCTCATGAACTGTCCTGACGTTCACTCAAAGATAGAGCATAACAAAGTGTATTTTGTAAATTTTGGTTTCCAGGGTAAAGTTTTCTGTAACTCAAACCTGTATATTCATTTTGATCTCACGTAGATAAAGGATTTACCATGCTAAACTACTATGGTATTATCAAAAAAGGCTTTTAGTTTAGTTTTCGGAACTGCGGTCTATCATTAGTAGTCGAACTAATTTGGTAGATTTTAAAGTTGTGAACGTTTGATATGATATCATGTAAGCCAAAATATTGTTGTTAAAATTTACTGTTCTGTGTCAAAAGGAATTCCGTCCTATAATAATCATTCAATTGTTTTTCTACACAAAGCCAAAGTAGATTTTTTTCATTAATGTAAGACGTGAAGATTTCATAGTCTTTGGACAAAAGCTAATTTTCGGCTTTACAAATAAATAACAATAATGGTTGCTCTTTTTGTCAGAAGGGGCATTAGCCTCGTGGATTCCGAAGGAACTCGGCTTTCACCATGAGGCGTCATAACTCCTCTAAAAGAAGAGCTTCTGACTCCCAGGGTAGAGTTTGAATGGTTTGAATAATTTTTTCTGGATAGCGTTTTTTTAGCGAGTTGGTTTTCTACGGGATGGGGTCGCTAACCCTTTGCCTAACCCTTCTCCTTTATCCGGGCTTTGGACCATCAGTAGCCTTACGGGGGGTCTACAGGCGGAGTTACGTTAATACATTTCCTTTTTTTAATGCCAATTGTATTATGAAATTTTTTTCCATATAATTTAGGCATAGAATCTTTCGTCGACGTAGTATTAGTCGGCTGAACTGTACAAACAGTATAATGCAACGTAGTATGACATCAACCAATACAATCAATGGAAGTTGTTCATCGTTGATAAATTCATCAGAATTCCTAACCAAATCATCTACAGATAATAATAGTTATAAGCATTTAAAAATGAATGGAGATGTATATAATATGAATCATAACAAAAATACTGTCATAACATCTCTTACTAAAACTGATGTTATTCGCGATGCTGAATCATTGAATCTGACCGTTAAGGATATCGATTTAACACTAAATAATCCAATTGGATTGACGCCGAGACGCGAGAAACGTCGGATTCTAACAGTTACCGGTGATTTAATGAATTCTAATCGTTTAACACGTGTATTTACACGTGGTCATAAGACATCAAATGTCAATGAGCAGTCAAATAAATCACTACTAAATACACAAGTATCCAAACAATTATCAGTAATGGGATTGAATAATAATAATAATGGCATTAATTTTAACAGTTCCAATGATAATTTAGACTGGTCATCTGACATTGAAGATAAGTCAAGCACTTTAGTAAGAAAAACATCTGATAAAAGTTCAGACAATTCTTCTGCATTAAAACAATTAAATTCATTAGATTGTAAAAAATCTACTCCACCTAGACAAGTTGTTCAGGTTAGTTTATCATTATTCAAAATAATAATATTATTGTTAACAGATTTTGTCGTTATTTCTTTATATGAACATTTTGGCCTTAAGTATCATATTTACATTAAGTATAGATGTTTATCGACTGGAATGTGAGGAGTTAACGAAATGCATAAATTAATTACTTCCTTCTAAAGTAGAATTCAACTTAATATCCTTGAGATATCATGAAATACATGTTAATATTCTATCCTTGGAATGGAATATATGTTGTACATTTCTATATTTTTATTCAATTCACGATATTGATATAATCTGAATAATATGTATCCACTTCTTATCAGTTTAACCCATTTGTGGACAGTCGTTGTCTGTGAGTATGTATGAGAAGTTCCAAACCACAGTGCACCAAACACTTCATTGTTTTTTTAGTATTTTTCTATACAAACATTGTTAGTTCTAATAAAAATTTTGGTTCTATCTTATCAATTTTTTAGTGCCACGTGAAATTCATTTCTTTAGAATAAAAATGTGACTATTTTTAAAATATGTTTTTTATCCGTAAAACCATTCCCTAGAAATTCGCTCGGTTACTCTTGTACATTTATTTTATTTACTGTTTATTGGGATTCTATATGCAAAAGATGAAAGAAACAAACAGTCCTCCTAGTTAGGAACATCCGATTAGTAAGAAACCTAACAAATGGAGAAGGTTTTTAATTTTTCTGGAGTTCTAAAACACTATTAACTGTAGATACACCATAGGTACCAAAAACGTTTGCTCAAATTTCTTTCTTATCCTGGTTTGTATTTCTAGGTTTACAACTTCTCTTTCTCTCTTATCTTTGTGTTAACTTAATATTTCCAGTCAACTCATGTTTACTTCTCTACAATTTTTCCTATTTTAATCAAAGAACATCATGGGATTTATTCATTAACATTTACCTTGTTTATCTATCATTTCTTAACAGTGATTCTTCATTTACTTCATATTAAGAAAAATATTTTCGTTATTTAGTACTATAGATATTGTTACGTCATTGCATATCTTTTCTGACAGCATCAATGAAAGGTACTGTTTGTGTGATTGACTTCAGTTGTTTCCACTTAATTCATACTCACCTAGCTTCAACATACGGGCATCTATGGTTGTTCACGAAGCATCAAGCCTTCTATGTAGATAACGTATGTGTTAATACGTTCGAACTGCGTTGATTTTTAGTCGAGATAATCGAATATATTCGTAAAAACTTCTTTTGATTTTATTTTAACAAATACTCATGAAAAGTACAGTATTTCAACGCAGTGCAACTTTTTACCATTTCTCCAAGTTCTTTACATTACCTGATGTTCTGAACTTGTCGAAATTTGCTGAAAATAACCAGCCCGTTTCTATTAAATTTTCATGAATAGGGAGTATTGCTTTTAATTTTTTAAGAGTAACAAAACAAAGAAATCATTGTTATTTTCTTTGAGATAAAAAAGTAATGACTAAAACTTTGTTATATAATTTGTATTCGTCAATTTATAAATTTATGGGTGTAATGGTGAATTCAACCCTGTTAATGGCGAGTGAGAAGTTTAAAAGTGAGCGTGCTTATTTTGAGTGAGTAGATGAACCGTCTAACTAAGGTTATCCCTCACAAATCTCTGTTTGAACTAGTTTAGTAAAACATATATGTCCATGAATTATAAATGTATTCAACCGGTGATGAACATTTAAGTTTCCAATACACTATTAGTCTTATTACTTCGGACAAGTGATTGAATGGATGTTATAAAGTGTATATTTTGACTAAATCGAATCGAAGGTCGGTTTAAATTGAGACATTAATCACTTATGGCATTGCATAACCATCGTTTTGTATGGGAAATTGGATGAGCTTCAAAATGTAAACCGTCTGATTCCATTTTAGTTGTATTGAAACACACTGCTGTACATCACGAAACCTGAAAGTGTTGGTCTCAACTCAGTCTGGTCGGCTATAAGCGCATTTTACAGAACAAATTCATTGTTGCTTGTTTAATAGTAGTTCTTCAGTGAATATCAGTCTGTTATGCAAAGTAATATTCAAGGCAACAATTGAAAAGTTAGATAATTTATTTAGTGTGAAAACACATGGATGTTATATTTTCCTGGGTTTTCTTGTAAAATGTTATTTTTGTTAGTTAGTTAGTTAATTAATTACCATTCGTTTTATAATAACAAGTAGAATTCGGCATAAGGTAATTAATTATTAAGCTTTTCTGTTAATTCTACAGAATATTCAGATGTTATTAATCAAAGTTAAATCCAGGTAAATAATGTTTGTATAGTTTTCTACAACTGAGATGGATTTTATTTCACTTTTTATTTTCAATAATTATGCTGATAACGTATACGAAGATCATTTCCTATTTTATTTTACCAATTAATAATTTGGAACAATTTTGTTGGTGTTTTCATTGTAAACAAAATCACTCAGTCATGCAATATTTTTATATAGTTGATATCATGAGTCAATTGAAGCTAGACCACTATGGAAAACCTGAAAGCACTGGACGGCCGTTTTGTCCTATTGCGGAACACCTTCAGCAGTGTGCACCCACGACCCCGTACTCGCGAGATTCGAACCCAGGACCTACCAGTCTCGCTCCAGAGCACTTCACCGTGGATGCGCACTGCTGAGGAGTCCCACAATAGGACGAAACGGCCGTCCAGTGTCTCCAGGTTTTCCATGGTGATCTAGCTTCAATTGACTCATGATCTCAACTATATGAAATTAAGAAAATCTCCACAAAACCCCCTTCTGATAATGCAATATTTATTTGATAAATACTTTACAAACTTTTATTGATATAAATATAAGAAATCTTTACTTGGTGATATTTTTCACATAATCCAATAATAATTTCATCATTTTAGCACTACTGAAATATATGGTTTGTGTTACTATAAATATTTAAGCAAATCAGAAACCTTTAGACAAAAAACAAATGGTAGTTACTACGAATGCATACATGAAAGGTTCTAAAAAAAATGACTGAGATAATTACTCATATACGGAATATGTGCGATTGTCTTTCTTTTTCATACAGCTATTGTCGATGTTAAATTTATCATATTTAATCATTACTCCTAAATGAGTATATCAGTCCAAAGTGAAATCCGTTATCTTTGATTTATATAATTGGAAATTATCTCTAACTCTTAGATTGAACACTTACAATTAGACAGGTTCTCTATTACCTAACTTGTTCTGAGAAATATTGATAGTACTTATGGATTATTACCACTTAGTTGCTTAATAATCCATAGAAAGTTATGACTAAGTGAGCCTATTGTTATGACATCAAAATAAATAGAAAGTAATCTTGTGAATCAACCAGTAGAAAATCTACTAGACTCTATACACCATTGACCTATGCCTAATGAGGAATTTTGAAAGTTATGTACGATTTACAACAAGGACAACCATTTGTTGTTTGATACAGGAGTTAATTTGCCAAAAGTTGTATTCAGTAAATTTAATTGTTTATGTTTTTGTTTTGCTACCTAAAAATTTTCATTAATGTGTATAAAATTCATCTTGTTGGATCGGTTATGTCATTCTTTATCTTGTTACTTATCTAAACTCATACACGAAGCATATCGTTCATAAACTATCACTCATAACCAACCTTCAGCAAAATTAACAAGAGCATATTTTTGTATTATAACATCTGCTCATTCATTTCTTTGAGTTAGCATTTCATTTTTATTCAGTCTTTTCATTTAATCACTAACAATGTAGGACAAGGCATAAATGCTGATTGTTTTAAGGTGCTATATTTAAAATCATCATAGTGAAAGGAAACTAATAAAATTAAAAATAAACAAGTTAATATAATTGTGAATTTGGTGGACTAACCAAGGATAATACATAGTTTATATCTGACGCATCATTGGTTTGTAGTAGATCATACATTTCATAGATATAACTCCCTCAAATCAAAATTATAAAAACTCTTCTGCTAGACTGTTATTTCAATTTCATTAAATGGTTTAAGAGAAAGTATCTCTTCAACTGTATACTGAAATCGTTCTTTAACTTCATTTATTTATTCATCTGTTAAAGTAATATCATGAAAATCGCATATTTCATATTTATATTTCTCAATTCGATTTATGATTTTCATGAAAATATAGAACAAATATTTCGGAGCTGAAAGTTTTTTTGTTATAGATCCATTTCAAATGTTGTACCACTGTATAAATAATATTATGACAACTTTACTTTTCAGCATAGAAGGCTTGCAATTAGTAAAGTTCATGAATTGAAGTTAATACTATTGGATGAAATAAAGGAATCATCAGCTTGACAAGATGACATAATAAGTTTGAGTGGATAAATATTTGATTTTACAATTACATTCAACAAAGTGATTAAATACAAAAGTAGATTCAAATTACCGATGATACGTTTATGAAAGTTATGAAGTAAATAAATTTTGTGGACTTTAGTTAATTGGAGTGTAATTAACCAATGGGGATAGGGTTTTATTCCATTCAGAAATAACAAAAGGATAAGAATAAAATTATGTAAGGAAAATATAAAAGCATAACTTTTTACAGATTGCTTACTGAATGGTTTGTCCAGTTCTATAATCATCATTATAGATACACCTTGCTGATGTGTTCGCCATGGCAAGTAAAATCAGGTTTGTGACTTTCTATAGATTGAGTCCGGACACCTAATGTTACAGTATTAAAAGGTTTTCTCGAAGATTGAACTTAATTGGGGCACTATGAAGGGAAACATTTCCGTTGTACGAGATCGTACAGACTTTTTTTCTGTCTGCACAACATTTTATAGTGTGAATAACAAGCTTTGATTATATTTCCTTAAAAAAGCTTGAACCAGATAGCTAGTCGAAACGTTGGATTTACTTCAAATTCATTCGCTGAAATTTTACAAATATATTGTTTCTATTTAATGACTTTAAAATTGGTGTGGGTTCATATCATTACAAATATTTTATATGATACACCGATTATTGTTCTCTTTCTCAATGATGCTATATTTTTCAATGTTAAATATTTATATAGCCTCATGAAGCTCCACTTCTTGATCCTTTTGGTTCTGATTGTGGCAAGCCTCGTTTACGGATTCTCCTAGGACAAACAAATCGTTTAAATTCTCTAACTGGAATATCTTCAACATCAAATATGAAATTTAATCCCAATACCACATACAAAAATATCTCAGATCATAAAAATAATTTGGTTAGTCACCAGTCTCTAGCAAAATCCTGTATGACATCTACATTTACTGCCACAAGTCTTGTATCAAAAGGAAGTACGAATTCAATCAATAGTATCTCTTCTTCGTATATAATCCCAATTAGTAAAACAGATTTTTAAAATCTACCCATAATTATTTTCAATAAATTCTACGAAACAGTATTTCCTTCATTGTATTTTTTTCTCCCATGTGATTTATTCACTCTTTGGATATTTTTTATACTTTAGTACATCATCACTAATGTAGACAACCAAGTTACTGCATTGATTCTGTCATTTTATCATGAACCTTTATTTGTTCAACAGTAAATATTTCTATATTAAGGTGGCCCTAATGATGGCTACCAATTTTTTTTATCTTGTAATTGTACAGAAACAATATAGAAAAACTCAATGCATAATTCAGTCCGTTCGCCCTACGTTTTGTGCTTAAAAATCAATAGATTATGTAAACAAAAAGAGAATTCAGCAATTGCTGCAGGATTATTATTATTATTATTATATTAAGATTCACGTCACCAAAATTATTCGTACATGTATACAATATGAAAGATAATATATCTATAATATGTATATATACTACTTAAAATGAATGGGCTTTATCATATGTATCATTTTTGGTCACTGCTATTTCATTTTCTTTCATAATCTACAATGGATTGTTTTAATAATCATTATATTTTCATTTCATCATTAAATGTTGGATTTGTATGATATTGAACTTATTCGAATCATACTATGAAAATGTAAATTGATGATTTTTCTATCTATAATTTAAATGTAATTAAAATATCGAATTAATTGGGGTTTTTTAATCTTCAATGTTTAATAATAAAACTTTGATTTGTTTATACGCCTCTTAAATTAATTAATCGTTAAAGTAAAATTTCTACTCCTTTCCTTTTCACTTTTTTTAAAATGTGAGTTAGGAGACACTGTCAAAAAACAAATATTTTTGTTCCTGTTATTAAGGTTTCCTTCTTACAAATTTAACTAAACATGACACATGTGATTTTACACGTAAACAATATGAAGGTGATATACTAATTGGAAGTGGAGACTAGTTCAATGGCTACTACAGCATCAAGTACCTTCATTTATTGAATGTTTGACTTTGAAAATTGGCTTTTGGATGTCCATCAGGTTGCTCATTTGCTAAAATGCAATGGGATTTTTTTTAACTATGGTTAGATAACTATCTTTCTAACATGTATAATTTCTAACAAAAAAGCTGTTTAACTGAACAAATATCTTTCTATAACTGGTGAGGAATTCTTCAGCCCTCTTATCTGTAATCTATTTTCCAGTTCAGTAAGTTTAATAGATTAAATAATCGATAGGGTTTATTTTTTCTGTACATATATAAGTGATACTTCGTGCATAATGTTGATAATGATGGTTATGTTATAATTCAAACAACTCTAAGTCTGTTCTTAATCTTTTTGAGAAATATGAGTTTTCTAACATTTAGTATAGTAAATTAAAATAATTATGGCCATTCAAAGGAAATACCAATTATTATTATTACAATATACGAAGAAAGTAAGCTATGAGCGTCGGTTCCTTAGAGTCTAATTGTAACGAATGATATTACTGTTATATTTTTTTCATTCCAATTGATAATCATCCTTAATTTCCTATTTCTCAACTAAAAATTCATATAAAGAGTGTAGCAAACTAACAAACAACATCCGGAAAACTAGTTTGTAATGGAATGTTTTGACACGGTCTTTTGAAGAAGGGATCTAGAAGTTGAGGAAATTTTAACAACTTTGTTTCATATAGAGTTCAACAGTAAGCATCATTCCTGAAGAACGCGCGTTTTCTTTTTGTGTGTTGATTGATTTGTTATTATATTGTCTTTTGGAAATGTGGAGTACTTTGTTATATGAAGTGTGCTCTGCAAATCATCTGGTTACATTAAATACACCATCTTGTAAGCACTTGTATTTGGCTATGAATTTCAGACTATCTGTAGAAAGATGTGTCAACAACGTTAGAGAGATTAAGTACTGCAAAACAACAGACTGATACGTCTTTGAGGTCACACCAAGCTGTTACACTGCCTGTCTTCACTTGGATTTGTTGTTTATATGGGATAGAAAGGATAAATCATCTGAGAAGTTCAAGCCATCTAGTTTCAGTTTCAGTTTCAGTTTGGAAAGGACAGGAGGCTTGGTGGCCTGTGTTAGTCCTGGCAATGATGGTCTCTCAGCTGATCCAACTTTCTTTTGAAGGAGTCGACGGATGGAGCCTCAACCACGTGCGTAGGTAATGAATTCCACTCGTTGATTATTCGATGGGAAAGTCGGTAGTCAGCTGACAAGTAATTCGTTCTGGGCTTGTGAACTTTTTTGGAGTGTCCTCGTAGATTTTCTGTTTTGGAAGACAAGAAAAATGAGGGCATATCAGGTGCAAATTTGTCATTTAGCAATTTGAAAACTATAATCAAGTCACCTCTGATTCTTCTATATGACAGCGGGAATAGGTTTAGCTTGGTCAGTCTAGTACCATACGGGAGCTTCGCTATTCCAGGAATCAGCCTAGTTGCTGTTCTCTGAACTCTTTCCAAGAGTTCACTGTCTTTTTTTAGGCAGGGGTTAGCTGCTTGTATACAGTACTCAAGTTTAGGGCGTACGAACACTGTATACAAAGTCAGAAACGTTTTAGCGTCAAGATGCCTAAAAGCCCTGCGTATGGACCATAAAGTCCTAAAACCTTTGGCGGCTATTGCACGGCAGTGTGCAGTAGTCTTTAAGTCTTGACTAACGATGACGCCTAAGTCATTGTGTGCCTGAACAATAGGTAACTCAGTGTTATTCATCGTGTATGTATCTGTACCCTGATGGCCAATATGCATCACAATACACTTGGAAGTGTTTATCGGCAATTGCCAGGTTTGGGACCATTCAGATAATCTCTCCAGGTCATTTTGAAGTTCTAAGCTATCGCTCTTGCTTTGTATCGCTCTCCATATCTTGACATCATCAGCATAGAGTAAGACCGATGACGATAGTAGACGAGGGAGATCATTTACGTACAGGAGGAATAACACTGGCCCCAAAACTGTACCTTGGGGGACTCCACTAAGCACAGTTTCCCAGCTAGACAACTTGGAGTTCACCCTTACTCTTTGTTGACGCCCAACTAGGAAGTCTTTTATCCACATCAATAGATTGCCTCCAATCCCGACATTCCTTAGCTTATATAACAGCCGGTTATGCGGAACTTTGTCGAAGGCTTTGCTGAAATCGATGTAAGCTACGTCTATAGGTAATTTTTGGTCCTTAAGAGCGCACCAGCTTTCACGAGCGACGTTAGGTCTGGATTGAGCTGAAGCGTACTCGTGATCGACAGCTATATGGAAGTCAAAGCTTAAAACTGCATGATCACTTTTGCCTAGGGGTGGCATGTAATCCAGGTTTGCAACATCATCCTCATAATGAGTCAATATAAGATATAGTAAGGATGATGCAGAACCCGGGTCGTACCTAGTTGCTTCCTTCACGTGTTGCACTAGGGCACATGTGATTATCGCATCAACTAGTTCCTGTTCGAAGGAGTTTGCTGACGATTCAGTCCGAAGATTTCCCCAGTCCACCATGGGTGCATTGAAGTCCCCTAAGATTAGACATCGATCACTTCGTGATAAAGTGTTGAGACTGCTTAGCAGGACCTCGTTTGCCTCACAGCTTGGACTGCGATAGATCAAACTAAGTAGTAACTCTTGTCCCCTGCATTTCAGGCGGCAGCAAACTAATTCATACGTCCCACTCTCATGGGATACACTGTCGATAATGGTGAATGGAATAGCATTCCTAATGAATAGAGCTACTCCCCCTCCTTTACGCGTTTGTATTCTATCGGCCCTTACCAATGTAAAACCCTCGAAATCAAGTTCCCTACTATCTATAAACGGCGTCAGCCATGTTTCTGTGACTGCGATTATGTCTGGCCTAGTTGAGTCAATCTGTACACCTAGTTCCGGTAGCTTATTTAGTAAGCTCCGGGCGTTGGTATAACAGATCCGAAGCCTATTTAGGTGGCCTCGTGCTTCACCCAGAGTGGCTTCGGCATCATCCTCTGTCGAAGCCTCACAACCCGAAAATTTACAATTTTCAGGTCTTTTTCGCCAGCGTCTAATCTGAGCTGTAGTTCCTTTTCGGCTTCCCGTCTTTTAACACGGTCCGCCAACGGTAAGTCCTTACGGAGGAAAACTCCTGAACCCTTTAATTTGTGTCCATTTTCTAAGATTAAGTCGCGTTCGTTTGAGGATTTGAAAACGACTTTGAGTAGTCTTGACTGATTTGGTTTCAGATGCGCTAGATTTCCTAATCTATACACCTTTAGCAAGGTGACTCCGGGGATGTTTTTGGGCATAACTTGGTTGAGTAGTTGTTTTATCAACACAATGTCATGCTCAAAACGAGCTTTCGGTTCTAAGTTGTCACTCTCCTTGACTCTATGGAGAATGAGCTGTTCATTATATTATGTACTTCCTCTGAGAAACAGACTTCTTCCTAATCCAGTCGACCACGAGAAGAAAGAAATCAGGGAGAGTAAATAGCATCATCTGACACCGGTTTACACTCGGAATGCATGTGTGAGCTGTCCTACATGCACGACCGTGCACTGTAGTCCGTCTTATGAATTCCGAATGACGTTGACGATCTCAAGTACACCATAGTGTCGAGGAAGGTTTCATAATGTTCTCCTATCCACACGGTCATACGTCTTCTCATAGTCAAGACACTGTCTGTTGAGCTCTATTCAATCGACTGTTCAACGATGTTCCGTAGTGTCGCCATTCGGTCTGTTTAGGACCGATCCTTATGGATTGGTTGATCCTATTGATCTCGTTGATTGACGTCTACGGAATCTGTCATTCGGTACATCAAGATTCTGTTGAAAAATTTTCCTACTACCGATAGTAGTGTAATGCTTCTGTAGTTCTCTTAATTGCTCAGATATCTTTTCCTTGGCATCTTGATGAGGTATCCTTCTTTCCAGTTCATTAGCACTTGTTCTTCCGCCCAAATCTTTCTGAATCGAACGTGAAGCATGCTTGTAGTTACTTAAATGTCCGATTTTAATGCTTCAGCTGTATATTGTCAAGTCTTGCTGCTTTCACGCTCTTGATTTGTCTAGTGGCCTTCCTGATTTCTTCGATCGTTGACGGAGTGGCATCTATAGAAAGGTCTGTAGGTGCTGTTTTGATATCCAGTGGATTTAATGGAACTGGCATACCCATCAATTTCTCAAAGTGATCTAATCACCTATCCGCTGTTCATGAATCTCAGTGATTGACTTACCTTCTTTGTGCTTGACTAGTCTGTCTGGTTTACTATAATTCTAGTTGATCAGTGAGAACATTAACAAGATCTCAAACTGCATATCTTTGGATCCTATTTTACCGGTTTTTGTGACGGAAAGACACTAGGATAGTGATGTCAACGGAACAAATCAGGGAACATGAAAACATTAGGGAATGTGCATGATTTGACATAAATGGTGTCCTGGGCTCTTACAATGACATTTACCCAAAGTAATTGTAAGAGGAGTTTAGTAGAATTGAGTGAGATGGTGTATTTAGATTATTCGCAAAATTTTGAATCACAAATTTTCAGCTGGCTAGGAGGTACTGAGGTTCTATTGCGAACTGAAGTGGGCTTTCGTATGGGTGTTTCCCCACGCGATTTTTTCGTGGCCCGAGATCTGACTGCATTTAGATCGTATGATTGATTGTTATTTAAATATATATGCCGCCTATGCTCACATATAATTACCGAATTAACTTGCAATGGTAACTCCGCTTGTAGCTCCTCTGAGGGTTACTGCCGGTCCCAAGCCCGGGTAAAGGAGGAGGGTTGGGCATGGGGTTAGCGACTCCATCCCGTAGAAAATCAACTTGGCAAAAAAACGCTAACCAGAAAAAATCATTCAAACCTTTCAAACTCTGCCCTGGGAGTAGAAGGAATAATTATGACGTCTCATGATGAAAGCCGAGTTCATTCGGAAGTCATGAGGCCGATGCACCCTCTTACAACCAGAGCAACAATTTTTATAGGTACATGGAATGTCCGAACAATGTGGGAGACCGGAAGAGTTTTCCAAATTGCTGCAGAAATGAGAAAATACAACCTGGAGGTTCTTGGAATCAGAGAAACACATTGGACGCAGCTTGGACAACAACGACTGTCTTCAGGAGAACTTCTGTTATACTCCGGTCATGAAGAAGAAAACGCCCCACATACACAAGGAGTTGCATTGATGCTGTCCAGAAAAGCACAAAATGCACTTATAGGATGAGAATCTCATGGACCAAGGATCATCAAAGCCTCCTTCAAAACAAAGAGAGAGGGCATTACAATGAACGTCATCCAATGCTGTGCGCCTACCAACGACTACGATGAAGACGCTAAAGACCAATTCTACGATAGGCTGCAGCCGATCGTCGATAAGTGCCCAACCAAAGACCTGACAATTCTGATGGGAGATCTCAATGCTAAGGTTGGAATGGACAACACTGGATACAAAGATGTCATGGGACAACATGGACTGGGAGGAAGGAACAAAAATGGTGAGATTTGCAAACCTATGTGCCTTCAATAAACTGGTCATAGGTGGCACCATATTCCCACACAAAAACCTACACAAAGCCACTTGGATTTCACCGGATCACACTACACAGAATCAAATCGACCATATCTGCATCAACAAAAAGTTCAGGAGGACGATGGAGGATGTGAGAACCAGAAGAGGAGCTGATATACCATCCGATCATCATTTGCTGGTCGCCAAGATGAAACTAAAACTCAACAAGCACTGGACAACGGCGCGGACAACATCACAAAAGTTTAATACGGCCTTTCTTCGAGGTGCTGACAAACTCAACAAATTCAACATAGCCCTCAGCAACAGGTTCCAGGCCTTTCATGATCTACTCAGCGGAGAGGAGACTACCATGGAGAGCAACTGGAAAGGTATCAAGGAGGCAATCGTTTCAACGTGTCAAGAGGTTCTGGGCCAAAATAAGCACCATCACAAGGAATGGATCACTGTTGGTACACTGGATAAGATTGAAGCAAGGAGGAAGAAGAAGGCAGCAATCAACACCAGCCGAACCAGAGCGGAAAAAGCCAATGCACAAGCCGAATACACAGAGGCAAACAAGCAAGTGAAGAGGAGCATCAGAACCGACAAACGTAAATATGTTGAAGATTTAGCAACGACAGCGGAAAAGGCTGCAAGAGAAGGAAACATGAGACAATTGTATGATACAACAAAGAAACTTGCTGGAAATTACCGTAAGCCAGAAAGACTAGTGAAAAGCAAGGAAGGCAAAGTAATCAACGATATTGAAGAACAACGAAACAGGTCGGTAGAACACTTCAAAGAACTCTTAAATCGACCAGCTCCACTGAACGCACCCAACATTGAAGCAGCACCCACAGACCACCCAATCGATATTGGCCCACCAACAATTGAAGAGATCAGCATGGCCATTAGACAAGCCAAGAGTGGCAAAGCAGTGGGACCAGACAACATCCCGGCAGAGGCACTGAAAGCAAATGTACCAGCAACTGCCAAGATACTCCACATCCTCTTCAGTAAGATTTGGGACGAAGAATAAGTACCAACAGACTGGAAAAAAGGACTTCTGATCAAGATACCAAAGAAAGGCGATCTGAGCAAGTGTGACAACTACAGGGGCATCACTCTTCTCTCAATACCAGGAAAAGTCTTCAACCGAGTATTGTTAAACAGGATGAAGGATTCCGTAGATGCCCAACTTCGAGATCAACAAGCTGGATTTCGTAAGGATAGATCGTGCACAGATCAAATCGCAACTCTACGTATCATTGTGGAACAATCAATCGAATGGAATTCATCACTCTACATCAACTTCATCGACTACGAGAAGGCATTTGATAGCGTGGACAGGACGACACTATGGAGGCCCCTTCGACACTACGGTGTGCCTGAGAAGATAGTCAATATCATACGAAACTCCTATGATGGACTAAACTGCCAAATCGTCCACGGAGGACAACTCACCGACTCGTTTCAAGTAAAGATCGGTGTTAGACAAGGTTTCTTACTCTCACCTTTTCTCTTTCTCCTGGTCATCGACTGGATCATGAAGACGTCAACATCTGGAGGAAATCACGGGATACAATGGACAGGCAGGATGCAGCTTGACGATTTAGACTTCGCGGATGATCTGGCTCTTCTATCACAAACGCAACAACAAATGCAGGAGAAAACGACCAGTGTAGCAGCAGCCTCAGCAACAGTAGGTCTCAATATAAACAAAGAGAAAAGCAAGACTCTCCGATACAATACAATATGCACCAATCCAATTACACTTGACGGAGATGCTTTGGAGGATGTGGAAACCTTTACATATCTGGGCAGCATCATTGATGAACACGGTGGATCAGATGCAGATGTGAGGGCGCGGATCGGCAAAGCAAGAGCAGCATACTTACAACTGAAAAGCATCTGGAGCTCAAAACAATTGTCAACCAACACCAAGGTTAGAATTTTCAATACAAATGTCAAGACAGTTCTACTGTATGGGGCGGAGACGTGGAGAACTACGAAAGCCATTATCCCGAAGATACAAGTGTTTATTAACAGTTGTCTACGCAAGATACTTCGGATCCGATGGCCAGACACTATCAGCAACAAGTTACTGTGGGAGACAACAAACCAGATTCCAGCAGAGGAAGAAATCAGGAAGAAGCGCTGGAAGTGGATTGGGCACACCTTGAGGAAATCAGCTAATTGCGTCACAAGACAAGCCCTCACATGGAATCCTGAAGGTCAACGGAGAAGAGGAAGACCAAAGAACACATTACGCCGAGAAATAGAGACAGACATGAGAAGAATGAACAAGAACTGGATAGAACTAGAAAAGGAATCCCAGGACAGAGTGGGTTGGAGAAAGCTGGTCGGCGGCCTATGCTCCATTGGGAGTAACAGGCGTAAGTAAGTAAGTAACTTGCAATGGTGAGGAACGGAATTAACTAAGTCGAATACGAGAATCGATTGTTGAATATGTATATTTTATGCACTCAGTGGCTTGAACAGGCAAGCGAGGAAACGAAACAAAGAGGGGATAGCGAATCAGATTGGAGGAGGCAAGGGGGTCGACTCAACTTAATCAGGAGTTAAACAATATTTATAGCCAGATAGAAGTAAGCTTCAGACATGTGACGAGTAGGATAAGATTTGCATACATACAGGCCCATCTAAAAATAGTCAGAATAAATGAGCCAACAAGTCGGGTCAAAATGTGGTTTAAGGAGAATAAATAGACTGGCCGGTCAGGATGATAAAATGAACTATGTGGGTTTAATATAACACATGGCGTTACACTATTTTTCACAACTTCATCTACTAGTGCTTGCAGTAAGTTTTGAAATGGTCAGAATCATTTTATAAAGTCTTCAGTTCAATTATTTCAAGGATTTATTTCCTACGTTTCCCATTTCACTGCTGTCATGTTCTTTGCTTATTCTGAAGATGTTACGGATAAGCAGTGTTCGACAGTATTATCGTCAATTAGTCAAACATGATGAAATGATATATGTTTGAGTTAAAGATAGATATATCATATCGCATGAAAAACAAGCTGGTAAGTAGCCGTAGAAGCTGCACAGTACGAAGTGCTTAAACGTAACCTACTGTAGATGCCTGATAGAATGCCTGCAGTCAGCTTTGTCCAATTATACCATAGAATTACAAAGGTATTTGCTTTTGGGTTTTATTTACTTTAGGCTGGAGTGGTACTATCCCGACATTTCTACAATTCATAATTGTGCTCTCCCAACAGTTCAGTGAATTTCCGAAAAACTGAGGTCTTACTTACGCCTGTTAATCCCAATGGAGCATAGGCCGTCGACAAACATTCTCCAACCCACTTTGTTCTGGGCCTTTCTTTCTAGTTCTATCCAATTTTTGTTCATTTTTCTCATGTCTGTCTCCATTTCTCTGCGTAATGTGTTCTTTCATCCTCCGCTTTCCCTTTGGCATTCAGGATTCCATGTGAGGACTTGTCTTGTGACGCAGTTAGGTGATTTCCTCAATGTGCGTGCTATCCACTTCCAAATCTTTTTCCTGATTTCTTCCTCCACTTTGTTCTCTCCCACAGTAGAATGTTGCTGATGGTGTCTGGCCAACGGATCCGAAGTATCTTGCGTAGACAATTGTTGAGAAACAGCAGCATCTTCTGGATGATGTCTTTCGTAGTTCTCCACGTCTCCGCCTGTAGTTCCTCCGGGAGCTACTGCCGGTCCCAAGCTCGGGTAAGGGAGGAGGGTTGGGCATGGGGTTAGCGACCCCATCCCGTAGAAAATCAACTCGACAAAAAACGCTAATCAGAAAAAAATATTCAAACCAAAAATTGAGGTCACTTATGATGAAATTTTTGATATAGTCTGACAAATGTTGGATCATAAAACTCTTAAGCTGATGTGATCTGTCCTTCTAATACAAATATACAGTAAGCAAAACGGTCTCAAACAGGTGATTGCCTATTATCAGGTTTGGTCAATAATTAGTCAGAATTCGGAACTCTTTGTCTCATACGATTAGAAAACGTTTCTGTAGATTTGAGCAGAAGAGGACTTGATTCACGAGTTGAAATTTCTTTCATTCACCATGACACTAAGTCGTGCGACACTATTGGAACGTCAGGCTCGGTGTTGTGAACAGTTTTGAATCTGAACGGTACGTGTATGGGATTCATCATATATAACCTGCTCGGAATTTAACGTTATGCAATCCTGGTTTCATTAGTAAATCTTCCTAATGTTGAGCTTTTGTTTTTTATAATCGCAGTTGATTGATCTTAGTATCGAAATGCAAGTTCATGCTCCTTGCTAATTGATTTTTTGGCCGACTTTCTTAATTATAGATTTCTCTACCTTCGCTCTTCTGTATACTACACCAGCACACAATATTACTTCAGAGTAAGCACACACTGTTACACTTACAGTTTTCAAAACAATGGGAGGGCTTCTATCCTCACCTAAAACTGACAAATATAATGAAACTGGTTGTGGCAATGGACTTCGATACGGGATCTCTAGCATGCAAGGCTGGCGTCTTTCAATGGAGGATTCTCACTGTGCCATAACACAACTTCCCGGAAATCTTAAGGATTGGTCATTTTTCGCTGTTTTTGATGGCCATGCTGGTGCCTTGGTATCAGAACTCTGTGCCACAGAATTGTTGAAGGTTTGTCGCCCATTTGAGTACCTTGTGATATAGACACCTCGTTTGCATTGTTGTTCTAATTCCGCTTCAGCCTACAACTTGAGGTCTCCAAGACTATGATCATTGTTTTAAAAGCTAAGATCTCAATATGCTTTACTTTTTTTGAAAACTTTATTTGGGTGCATAGCTAATATAGTTGTTCGATACCTGGGATATATATATATATATATATATATATATATAATTTGTGAAAATGTTCGTTTCTGAAAGGTGAGGAGCATTAGGGATTTCGCAACAGCTCATCCATTTTTTCCTTTCGAATCCTGTCTTCATTAATAACATTTCTGGTGAGTTGAATTCGCTTCATTACTCATATTATCACTTGTCGAATATTTTACACTTTTAAAGCCAATTGGTTCCTCTTCGAGTGGATATGACAGTTCTAATCCTTGTTACTACCGGTTAAACTATTCCTGGGTTAAAAATAGGGTAGTAGGTAAAGTTAACGAATCGATTGATAAAATAGCAAATATTCATCTGAGTTATTAGAAACACGTTTCTTTTATGCCCAACCACCGCTTCTTCGAAGGGTGATATCGTCTGAAGGAGTAGGTTGGAAGAATGTCAGGGTTGGCAAACCTAAACACGGCATCAGTACTTATCCATGTTAATGGATGTAGACCACCTAGTTGGGTTCCACGTGATTATCGTAGCCAATAGTTAAAGACTTTAGATGACATAGCTTAAGATCGCTTGCAACGGTGCAGACGCATCCATTCTTTGTCCTCTCCGAGATTTTAAACTTCTGAATTCTTCATAACTTTCCTTTGTTTTTATTTCAGCAATTTATATTTTCTCGAATCGTATCTTCGATGCTTAGTCATTCCTAATACCATTGATACTGTAACTGCCATTACTATTCCGAGATTTTGTCTGACAACTCCACCTCTGCTAATGAGGCATGTCAACTTGAATCGATGTATATACGTACCAGGTTCTACTATGCGTTTGACTGATTGACTCATCAAATTTGAATACAAAATGAGATATGCTTCTAAGATGTTATGTTACTTGACTGTCTTCCTGTTGAGGATCCATGGTATGATGATTTCCAAGGCTTCAAATAATAAAACCGTTTATTCATATTAACTTAGGTAGAAGGAAAACTCGTAGAGTCACTCTTCGACGTTAACAGCAACATCTTTTTCACAATGTCAAATACAGTAGAAACTCCGCAACCTATTCGGGTTATTGAAAGCATCCAAAAATCCTAGTTAGAACCCCAATTATAGCAGCAACTACCAGAGAGTACACCAAAGTATTCTTGTAGGAAAATGCTTAGTACGCCTAGTTTGGTTGGCAATAAAACAATGTTTTTTGGGAGAATGGCTGTTGATGTACTTCTGGGAAGTATATATTACATTACCCAAGTGCATTCGGTCGGAAACTAACAGAAAACCTTATGAGGAAAATGACAAGGGATAGACATCGTAAAATCCAACGATATTGATCGAGTTTGGGTTAGTATGTTTCTCAATGTGGCTTTAAGTAAAATTTCTCCGAAGAGTTGTTAACTGAAGTTGGATGTATTTAACAAATTGCAAAGAAAGTGAATCAGAGTAAACATATTTTGTAGTATCACGATGCATGGGATTAGGGGAAAGTAATCGATGTCCCATCTGGGCTATCTGGTGTTTTTCGAACCTTTATCTTATTGGCTGAACACCCAATGTTGATCATGACTGACTAAGGAGCTTCTCTTTTTGGACCAATGTACCCTAAAATATGCGGATCTTTGTCCATTATATTTGAATTAAGGAAGATCTATCTAGTAATTATACACGATTTCATACGATTAATTCCCTTCATGAATTTGTATTGATAAGTTCAGTTTTCTTTCGTCCTATTTTTGTCGTAGCAAATTCTATTACAATTTGCTCTTTGTTTAATAAATTAAATGCGCGAAATGCTTTTAGCTGTTATAGACAAATTTATCACCATTATATATTCAGTAGAATGTTGTTGACAGCTATTTAGGACGTTGGTAACGTAACAAAAGTCGCTTTTCATTGAAATGTAAAATTTAAAGGTAGGGTGTTTTGCCGTATAAGTCCATTTTGATCTATTCGTTTGTATTACCCTTGTTTTCTCACATTCATTTATTGTAATTAACTTCAATGTGCTCACTGAATCAGTCAGTCAACTGGTTCTATTATTTACCAATTCATATTCTACTTTTTTAGTGTATTGTGGATACTGAGGAATTCAAAAAAATCAATCCTGACTTAGCACCTAGTTTACAAGAAGTAGAACGTGGCATTCGTGACGGTTTCTTATCCTTGGATGACCGCCTTCGACACCTTCCTCAGCTTGCTAGCGGTGAAGATAGGTCAGGATCCACTGCTGTCTGTGTGCTCATAACACCTAAACATATTTTCTTTGCTAATTGTGGCGACTCTCGTGCCATACTCATTCGAAAAGGTAAAGTTGCCTTTGCTACAGTTGACCATAAACCTGTAAATCCAAATGAAAAACAGCGTATTCAAAATGCTGGTGGTTCTGTTATTATACAAAGAGTAAATGGTTCTCTTGCGGTTTCTCGGTATGTTGGTTCTGGTTTTAAAAAATTCTCTACTGGCCTTTGTGTTTGTAAACATGTATATTATAGTATAAGTAATTTTGTGTGTAATTCAATGAAACAACGGTTCAGCCATCTACAGTATTTATTAGGATAACTACCTGAGGTCTCATACCGATCTAGCTAGGCCTAATCTATTTGCACAGCCGAATCGCACTCCTGAAACACAATTTTACTTAGATTTGTTGCTGAAGTTAATATGCATAGTACATAGTGAATCGTAACACACAATAACAGTTCATTAACAACAGAACTCGAAGTTTACAATATAGTATTGAGTATTTAAGACAGGATAGTTTATTCAAGTTTGCCTTTAATTGATAATGAAGGTTGACACAATGTCTCGGTATTTTTTGGGATGCGTTGACTTAATATTTTCAGAAAATCTGAAGAGGAGGATTTCTCTTTGTTCATTGTTTGGTAACTAATTCATATACATGATTCAGTCTCTCATCGGTCTAGTATTCAGTTTATCAAGCGACTCCTGTTTCAACACCCAAGAAGTTATAAATTTCCGACGTAGTGTATATACAGGACTGTTAATCATTTGAAACATCCTGTGGTTCAATACACAACTTAATAATTTTCATTATGAAGTAAATATATCATAAATTTGCTGTGCATAGTTGTAGTAATTTCTCTCGTAGTTACACATTGTTGATTGGTAAGTTTTCCTTGAGTAAATATGTAAATAATGGATTATCTCCTGTTTAGGAGATAGTTTAGTAGGAAAACTTAAACTACTTATTATTTGTTCTGTCAAAAACTAATACAAATTGTAAGCCATTGGATCTGGTTGAGGTAAAGGGTCAGTCGAAACCTAATAAATGATGTAACGTACTTGAGATCTGGATGTATTCCGCTTGTTAAATTACTGTCACCTGATAAAATAGTCCTTTTCCTTAACTTCAGTCTGTTTTGCAAGCACAAAGCTTAGTTGTTAGTAAAATAAAAACCTACAGGACATCTCTCGAGATGCTGTTACATTTTTATTTTAGTATCCTCAACTATCGCTTACTTCGAAGGGTGATGTTGTCTGGTGAGTAGGCTGGAAGAATGTTTGGGGTGGCAAACCTAAACACGACATCAGTCCATTAAATGGTGAGAATATAATTGATGGACGTCATTTGAGCGACTCTAAAGTGACCTTGAGAGTATCCACTCACTTACTAGGGCTAAATGAGGGTTATAAAACAATATGAAGAATGAGACTTATGATTTACAGTTGTTGTTTAGTTGTTAGGAATTAGATTCATGATTTTCATCACGAACTGACATTAGCTAAAATGCCAAAACGCTATTTAGACGAACCCTGCCTAACTCCACTCCTTGAATGTAACAATGAAGAAAGGTGGTTGTATGACCTCACTCTGCCTAAGGTGTTTGTATATAGGGCTTTTAAGATGTTAATAAACTTCTCAGGCACGCCCTTCTTCAACAAATAATTCGAGAGAATAGTCCTGTGCAACGAATCGAAGGCAGCCTTGATGTCAAGATACAATACGATTGTTGGCCTGTGATAATTATGACGGTGTCTTAACATTTGGCGGAGGGTGAAGATATGACCAGAATGGAAACCAACATGCTCCTCGCGAGTCAATCGTTCTCGGGTTTTAAATAACCTACGAAGAATGACAGAAGCCAATAGTTTGGACTAAATCGGAAGTAGACTTATCCCCTGTTCTTTCATAGGTGACGTCAACCCCGTTTAAAAATAAGGACAATTATCGACTCATTTCATGATGTTGGAACATTCTTTAACTCCCAAACCTTCTGACTCCTTACAACTGATGGAAGCCCGTCGGTCTACCCTGGATGACCGTGAGTTTGACCACAAACGACAACTGTTACGTAACGAAATTGGGCAAAGCCTGCGTAAGGACCGAGAAGCTTAGTAGTCGGAGCATGCCAATGAGTTGGAAGCAGCAGCTGCATCTAGTAAATGCCGGAAGCTCTTCCAACTCATCCGAGCCACTGGCAGCAAAAAGTCTGATGTGAGCGAAACAATCTGTGATGATGGGATGCCAATCACTAACATCTCTCGACGTCTTGGACGATGGGCGGAATTTTTCGAAGGGCAGTTCAACTGGCCTGCTGCTCCGGCAACATCAACCAGCTTGTCCTGCCCCCCATGGCCGGTGACGACTGATCCACCAAACGAGGCGGAAGTCCGCAAGGAACTCCAACTCTTGAAATGTTACAAATCACCGGGCCCAGATGACTTACCTCCGGCTCTTTCTAAAGATGGTGGTGACTTTCTGGCTAAGGAGCTGACTGTGTTGTTTGCAAAGGTTTGGGAGCAAGAAAGTGTTCCAACATCATGGAATGAGTCGATAGTCGTCCCTATCTTTAAAAAGGGTTCACGTTGTTCCTGTAACAACTATCGGGGGATAAGTCTACTTCCGATTGCGTCCAAACTATTGGCTTCTGTCATTCTTTGTAGGTTGTTTAAAACCCGAGAACGATTGACTCGCGAGGAGCAGGTTGGTTTTCGTTCTGGTCGAGGATGCATTGATCACATCTTCACCCTCCGCCAAATGTTAAGACACCGTCATACTTATCGCAAGCCAACAATCGTAGTGTTTCTTGATATCAGGGCTGCCTTCGATTCGTTGGACAGGACTGTTCTCTGGGATTGTCTATTGAATAAGGGTGTGCCTGAGAAGTTCATTAACATCTTAAAAGCCCTGTATACGAACACCTCAGGCAGAGTGAGGGCATACAACCACCTTTCTCCCTTGTTTCATTCGAGCAGTGGGGTTAGGCAGTGTTGCCCGATCTCACCATTCCTCTTCAACTTTGCCGTCGATGACATCCTGGAAACAGCTCTGATGGATGTAAGTAATGGCGGTGTGGATATGTTGCCTGGAGAACGACTTCTCGACCTCGAGTATGCGGATGATATTGTCTTACTGTGCGATAATGCCCAAGGCATGCAATCCGCACTTAATCAGTTGGCAATTAGTGTCCGCAGGTACGGCATGTGTTTTGCACCCTCCAAGTGCAAAGTACTCCTACAAGACTGACAGGATTCTCATCCTGTACTCACCCTGGATGGTGAGCAGATTGAAGTAGTTGAGAAGTTCGTGTATCTAGGCAGCTATATAAGTGCTGGTGGTGGCGTGAGTGATGAGATTGATGCACGTATAATGAAAGCCAGAGCGGCTTATGCCAATCTGGGCCATCTTTGGCACCTTCGTGATGTTAGTCTGGCTGTAAAAGGTCGGATCTACAACGCGTCGGTGAGAGCAGTTTTGCCCTATGCTTGTGAAACCTGGCCTCTCCGAGTTGAGGATGTCAGACGTCTCTCTGTGTTCGATCATCGTTGTCTCCGAAGGATTGCTGACATCCAGTGGCAACACCATGTTAGTAATGCAGAGGTTCGGCATCGTGTGTTCGGGCGCAGAGACGATAATTCAATTGGTGTCACCATCTTGAAACACCGACTTCGGTGGCTTGGACATGTTTTATGAATGTCGTCCCAGAGACTTCCACGTCGTGCATTATTTGCCGACACTGGGACTGGTTGGAAAAAGCGGAGAGGAGGTCAGTGTATGACATGGTGTCGTGGCATGAAAGAAAGCTGCAAAGGGCTAGCTTCTGTTGGTCCTTCACGACTCCCTGGCTGGGGTCCGAGAGATGGTGCAACACAGTGGCTAGAGACGTTATCAGATATGGCTCAGAATAGAAGCCAGTGGCGATCCTGCTGCAACCTTCTTTTACTTTCTACATAAAGAATGGTTCTAACTTTCTTAACTGAAAGAGTCTTCTGGTTGTACATTTTAGTCCGCGTTATTTTTTCATCCTTTCTCTTCCTACTTTCATTATTTTGTGTGGCGCATATGTATCTGGTGCCCTTTTGTACCAATATATATGTGTTTAAATAAATAAATAAATAAATCCCAAACCTTTGTGAACAACACAGTTAGTTCCTTAACCAGAAGGTTGCCACCATCTTTAAAAAAGGCCGGAGGTAAGTCATGTGGACCCGGTGGTTTCTAACGCTTCAAGAGTTGGGGTTTCTATCAAACTTTCTCCTCATTTGTTGGATCAGTCGTCACCGGCCATGGAGGGAAGGACAGTCTGATCACTGTTGTCGGGGCAGCAGACCAGTTGAACTGCTCTTTGAGAAACTGTTCATCGTCCAAGACTTTGTTTGATGTTAGTGATTGGCATCCCATCATCACAGATTGTTTCGCTCACATCAGACTTTTTGCTGCCAGTGGCTCGGATGAGTTGGAAGAGCTTCCGGCATTTACTAGATGCAGCTGCTGCTTCCAACTCATTGGCATGCTCCGACTACTAAGCTTCTCGGTCCTTACGCAAGCTTTGCCCAATTTCGTTACGTAACAGTTGTCGTTTGTGGTCAAACTCACGGTCACCCGGAGTAGACCGACGGGCTTCGATGAGTTGTAAGGAGCCTGAAAAAAACCAATTCTTATAAGCGGAACGTTTCGCGAAGCCGCAAGCGGCTTTACTTTCCATTTTCATGGCGTCGTGCAATGATCATCTATACTTTTCGGTGGGATGGTAGCTAGCTTAGAAACCAGCTCTGTTCCATACTTACTTGCAACAGAAGTTGCAACCAATTTACTGACATCTATTCATATAGGACGATGAATTTGTTGGTCTCTGAAAAGTAAGGTAAGATAAGCGCAAACAAGTGCATGATCAGAGTCCAGGTATGTACTCTAAAATGAGCGGCAGTCTTGTATACAACCACGCCAATGGTAGCTGATTGCGATGTGATCAATCTGAGTCCAGACTTGAAATGCAGAGGAAGGGCGCCAGGTGGCACATTGACGATGACCGTTAGTGCTACCCAGAAATAGGTTGTGGTCTGCACACAGTCGCAGTAGACGGTCGCCGTTATACTGACCTGCAACCAACAAGTCCTCATCCTCTACATAAACGACTCTCTTCTGTGCCTAGGCACCCAACCTGAGCATTTAAGTTTCCGGCTAGTATTAAACTCACTTTCCTAAGAAGAACTTTTAACTGGTGGTAAAGCTCATCCTTGATCGCATACGGTCTGCAATCTGTCGGAGCGTAGGCGCAGATGACGAAAAGAAATCGTTTCTCACACCGATTTCTTCTCATTCGGACTGGACTTTCTAATCTAACAGCACATAATTGACTGTTAATAGGGATCCGATCGATCAGTGTTGCCTCTGCTCTAGCGCTTGGTGCGACACCAGCGCCAGCAAAATCAGACGAAGATGCCACAGGGTCCCCGGATAAACGCACGTGAAACAAACTTTTCAAAGAGATAGATGGAGAGAGAATATATAGCATTTCACTAGAGTATTAAATACATGTCTTGGATCGATAACATACATCGATATTAAGACTCAAAAGACACGGCCAACCTTATCTGTTGTTCAATCTGCATTAGTGTGCTAACATTGAAGGAAGCCAGTTTGAATAGTATATGTGGTTTCAAAAAGACATTCAGTATTCGTATTCAATGGTAGCATTCAACTTTCGATCAGTCAGTGACTTGAGATCGTTTAGATAGAACAGGGTTTCTACCATAGGCGAACTGCTGTATAAGTTGGAAAATAAAATACTCAAAATGAGAATAAAGGGAAATGGATAAGTGACGTAGTATAAAAGAAATAAAAACAAAGGTTATAAAATGATTGTTAGTCTGATCTATTTGAATGTGAGTTGAAGGGAGAATAATTTTTCCAGTAGTAGTCATCATTTAGTTTGTGTGAGGTCTGTGATACTGCCCGCTATTATGGGACTGCATCTCCTGAAGTTGCTCCATCGCCTTGTGGACTGGACTTTAAGGTCAAAGGCTCCGGGTGTGGCCCCCTAAAATTCACCTGCTTAGGTCTGGGCACCCGAACAGTATCATAGCTATCACACAAACTGCATGTTGGAGTGTAGCACGTATTTATTTGGTGCCCCCTTGTACCAATATTTATGTTTAAGTAAATAAATGAAAACTCCTCTTCCCAATTTGTTAGTTTCTGACATTTGATTGCCATTGTTAAACGTTATACAATTGATGTGACTTACTTGTTGACAAGAGTACATACTTCAACATTTGGGGTAATTAATATTTTTAGCTAACATTTTCAGCGTGTTTTTTATAACATTATTTCGAAATCGTACTTAATCGTTATAATTATTGATTTTTTTTTAGTTCATTAGGTGATTATGCCTTTAAAGCTGCTAAGGACTTAGGTCCTACGGAGCAACTTATATCCCCAGAACCTGAAATCACAGTTGTTGATCGTGATAAAGATTTAGATGAAATTATCGTTTTAGCCTGTGACGGTATTTGGGATGTTTTAACTAATGAAGAAATTTGTTCACTTTTGCAAAATCGTATGCGATGTGTTGATGACTTATCAATGATATGCAATGAAACTATTGATATGTGTTTGTATAAGGTGAGTTTTTCCCTTTAATTTTAGTCATTTGAATGTCGTTTCCGATGTTGATGTGTGTGTGTGTAAATCTGCCGATTTTAAATCGTTTAATGAGGCTTGGCTCGGTCTGTTTAATATTATCTATCTTCTCAATAGTAAATAAGTGTTTTTTTTGCTGTCTCCGATCTATATATCGTGATTTTCTTTCTATAGTCATGCGAAAACTGTCACCATGTTGTATCACTTGCTATAACATGAACGGTGCCATTAGATATAAACCTGTACTTAGCAAACGAGTCATAAATCAAGGTGATGATAGATAGTGGATAAATTATTAAAAGCTAAAACCTTCTGGTAGTGATTTACTCTTTTCTCGTTAAAAACAACAATCGAGAAAAAGTTAAATACTACGTATCATCACTTTCCAGTTCTCTTCCCATATGTTGTAGTAATTCATTCGGCTGGTAATTAGTCATAGGAAATGCTTGTGTTAAATAGCTAAATGAAACGGCAATTTCAGTTGGACTCAAATCTAAACCTCTTCAGTTTTCCTTTCTTCGGGACCGTAATAAAAGAGAACATATAGATTTACCCTTGTGAGATAGCTACGTAGAATTTAAATAAAGTTGAGTTTCAATGATAGGATCAGTTATAAACAACAACCTCTATCTGGAGATTACTTACTGCCGGTGTTTATTTATTTATTTATTTATTATTTAATTGAATACATAAATATTACTAAAAAAGGGCGGCCGAATAGATGTTCTCCACACAGGTCTTTGATACTGCCTGGGTGCCCAGACCGAAGCAGGTGCTTTCCTTAGGGGGCCACACCTGGAGCCTTCGACCTTAAGGTCTGATCCAAAAGGCGGTGGATCAACGTCAGGAGATGCAGTCCCATAGTAACCGGCGACCAATGATTGGTTCATGCGCCACTTGTTACCTCAGGATACTGGAGCCCATGTGCACCCTTGGTTCGGAAGCAGGGTTTTCCAACTCCTCTAGGTGGACTCTCCGTGTCCACCAACCCGTTTAAAGTTCCGGACATTCGCTTTTCGTCCTCTCGATTTCGTAAACAACAACCGGGCCACGAACAGGTAGTGAGTAGGACTTCCCTGGCAGTGGTTGTATACATGTGGCCCTCAGCCGTACTAGGACATTTTTGGGAGTGTCTTCTCTTCTCACTGTTAAAACATTAGTTCATAGACTTATATAATTGAAAATGTTTATGGTAGTGATGTGGTTGACGTTTATTTAACTATTTGCTTTCAACAAGCAATTACGATGTAAGTAATGTTTGTTATTTGTGATCAATTTACTAGAATACAATAACTCTGTATAGGCTTGTGTACTCGGATTCCAGCCACACGTTTTGTATGAGAGATTACTTATCCCTCGTGGAGGAACATAGACTGCACACTAGTATTCTCCATCCAACCCTGTCCTGGGCAATCCTTTCCAGTTAACATTCATCCTTTTCATATCTGCTTCTATTTGCTGGCGTAATGTGTTCTTTGGCCCTCCTCTCCTCTGTTTCCCTTCAGGATTCCAAGTTTGTATTTGCCTCATGATGCAGTTTGGCAGTCACGCCTTCTCATAGTCAATGAAGTTGATGTATAGTGACGAGTTCCATTCAACTGATTGTTCAACGATGATCCGTAGTGTCTCAATTTGGTTTGTACACGATCGATCCTTGCGGAATCTAGCCTGTTGATCTCAAAATCGAGCGTCTACTGCATCTTTCATCCAGTTCAGCAACACTCTGTTGAAAACATCTGGCACTGATGCCTTTGTAGTTCTCACATTTGCGCGGATCTCCCTTCTTTGGTATCTTGATGAGGTATCCTTCTTTCCAGTCCATCAGCACTTGTCCCTCCTTCCAAATCTTCTTGAATAGACGGTGATGCATGTTTGCAGTTACTTCCATATCTGACATCAGTGCTTCAGCTGGTATATTGTCGGGTCCTGCCGCTTTCCCGCTCTTGGTTTGTCTGATGGCCATCTTGACTTCTTCGATCGTTGGTGGAGTGACATCTATAGGAAAGTCTGTGTGTGCAGCTTCGATGTCCGGTGGATTCAATGGGGCCGATCTATTTAGCAGTTCCTCGAAGTATTCTATCCATTTGTTCCTTTGTTCTTGAATCTCCGTGATAGTCTTTCCTTCTTTGTCCTTGACTGGTTTCTGTGGTTTACTATATCTCATATCATATAGTTGTTTCATATTCCCTTCTATTGCAGCTTTTCCTGACGTCATTACTAGTTCTCCCATGTATATTTGCTTGTCGGCTTTAATGCTCTTCTCCACTTCCTTGTTTGCCTCTGCGTACTCTGCTTGTGCCTTGACTTTCCCTGCTCGTGTTCAACTGTCGTTGATTGCTGTCTTCTTGTTGTTCCTTTCTTGAATCAGGTCCAGGGTTCCCATAGAGATCCATTCCTTACGATGATGCTTCTTGAGACCCACAACCTCTTGACACGTTGAAGTTAGTGCTTCTTTGATCCCTTTCCAGTTGCCCTCTATCGTAGTTTCTTCTTTCAGCAGATCGTGTAAAGCTTGGAACCTGCTGTTGAAAGTTTTCTTGAAATCGTTGAGCCTGTCAGTATCTCGAAGGAAGGCTGTATTGAACCTTTGTAATGCTGTTAGCCCAGTTGTCCACTGTTTCTTTAGCTTCAGTTTCATCTTGGCCACAACCGGGTGGTGGTCTGAAGCTATGTCAGCTCCTTTCCTGGTTCTCACATCTTTTTTGTGGATTCAAATATGATCTATCTGGTTCTCTGTGGTGTGGTTTGAATTATTTTTTCTGGTAAGCGTTTTTGAGCGAGTTAGTTTTTCTGCAGGATGGGTTCGTTGATCCCATGCCCAACCCTCCTCCTTTACCCGGTCTTAGGACCGGCACTAACTCTAGAAGAGCTACGAGTGGAGTTTTGTTTGAGAGATGGGGAAATATATTCGCTCATACCGAAACATACGTGGTAAGCATTGTCCCTGAAATCCGATGGTTTAAACTTAATTGTTTTAAGCACCAAGCTACTATGATCTATACTGTTGGATACAATCTTGAAGCGAGTTCAAATTTTAATTATTACTACTAAGTCCTAGTAAGTTTAGTCATAAAATCTTTTGCATAAGCCTTTGTTTTTTATAGTGTACTAAATTAAATTGAGACTTATTATCAATGTCTCTACAGAGTAGTCATTATAAGTTAAAAAAAGAACTTTACGGCATAAACATGTGACTACTATGACCAGGTGTTTCACATCTGTCCTTAACCTACTTGTAACCTTAGTTGAATAGTGACACATAGCAATATATACATGGTTATATCAAAATACTTAGCGTAAGCTATTTACGAAGTACAGGCTTATATACTATTTCTGCAAACGCTATTAATGCTATCCGGTTGCCCGTGTTGATTTGACAGAGCTAAAATTAATCCCATTAGAGCGAATGAATTATAGTTACCATATTCCTCAATCGTTTATTTGTCAACAGCTCTGGTGGATGTAAGTAATGGCGGCGTGGATATGTTGCCTGGAGAACGACTTCTCGACCTTGAGTATGCGGATGATATTGTCTTACTGTGCGATAATGCCCAAGGCATGCAATCCGCACTTAATCAGTTGGCAATCAGTGTCCGCAGGTACGGCATGTGCTTTGCACCCTCCAAGTGCAAAGTACTTCTACAAGACTGACAGGATTCTAATCCTGTACTCACCCTGGATGGTGAGCAGATTGAAGTAGTTGAGAAGTTCGTGTATCTAGGCAGCTATATAAGTGCTGGTGGTGGCGTGAGTGATGAGATTGATGCACGTATAATGAAAGCCAGAGCGGCTTATGCCAATCTGGGCCATCTTTGGCACCTTCGTGATGTTAGTCTGGCTGTAAAAGGTCGGATTTACAACGCGTCGGTGAGAGCAGTTTTGCTCTATGCTTGTGAAACCTGGCCTCTCCGAGTTGAGGATGTTAGACGTCTCTCTGTGTTCGATCATCGTTGTCTCCGAAGGATTGCTGACATCCAGTGGCAACACCATGTTAGTAATGCAGAGGTTCGGCATCGTGTGTTCGGGCGCAGAGACGATAATTCAATTGGTGTCACCATCTTGAAACACCGACTTCGGTGGCTTGGACATGTTTTATGAATGTCGTCCCAGAGACTTCCACGTCGTGCATTATTTGCCGACACTGGGACTGGTTGGAAAAAGCGGAGAGGAGGTCAGTGTATGACATGGTGTCGTGGCATGAAAGAAAGCTGCAAAGGGCTAGCTTCTGTTGGTCCTTCACGACTCCCTGGCTGGGGTCCGAGAGATGGTGCAACACAGTGGCTAGAGACGTTATCAGATATGGCTCAGAATAGAAGCCAGTGGCGATCCTGCTGCAACCTTCTTTTACTTTCTACATAAAGAATGGTTCTAACTTTCTTAACTGAAAGAGTCTTCTGGTTGTACATTTTAGTCCGCGTTATTTTTTCATCCTTTCTCTTCCTACTTTCATTATTTTGTGTGGCGCATATGTACCTGTTGCCCTTTTGTACCAATATATATGTGTTTAAATAAATAAATATTTGTCAACTGGGTTCCAGTTATACTCTTGTGTACATTATTTTGTAACCAAGCGTGTTATGTTGTTGAAAGAAGAAACTTATTCTAATGTGTAGCTGTTTAGTCTTCTGATATCAGTTCAATTAGCAGGAGTCTTACGTCCGTAATTTGGTCTCGTAAGCAACTATCACTCGACTACATTGTTTAATTGCATATTATCAACGGAGCGACGCCTTTCATTCTCTCCTCAAACAAATTTTGATTACAAATCATAAAAGGTTCATTCATAACACATGCTGAAGTACAGTTGAATTCGAACTTAAAATCTTCTGATTGAAACTTGTGTGGTTTGATCACTATCAGATCGTCAGAAATTGTGTAGTGGAATTTATATACCTCACAACACGAAACGCCTTGTAACTTTATGAAATCAGCTATACTTTTTGTGATTGATCAACTGTAATGAAAACCGACAGTATTTCATTATCACATAGACAGACTGGTCAATTGGTCTATCACTCATTTACAACTTCTCTTATTCTTTATTTTTTTTATTATTTTCTCTTATTGTAGGGCAGTTCCGATAATATGAGCATGGTTCTAGTAGCATTTGATCCTGCTCCTCGAGTAGATCCTACTTCTAAAACGGAAGATGAAACTTTAGAATCTGTTTTACTACAACGTACTAAAGGTAAGACGTTGGTACTATCGCTTTATGATATTCTATTACTTCATCGTTAGTAGTTTAGGGGATACTTGTAGGTGGAATATTTATGCTTTTATTTTACAGTAACTTTTATCATGCCTGATGTGTAACAATTATACAACCGTGGTGTTCCTAGAGAAATTCCAATATTTGATCTAAGTGCAGAACTAACGAACCAAAGTTTATTCGATTGGACCAATCTGTGTTCTTCTATATGACCAACAAGGCGTTTTGTGTGACTCGTATTAAATTATATAAGAATACAAACTCTATCGTCAATTTAAACGGTTCTAATTTGAGAAAAAAAACTGTAGCAAAAGTACAAAATACCTCAAGCCGTACAGCCTGTACTATAGTCTGAGGTTTCTTTAGCACAACGTAACGTGTTACTCAGCAAAAAGAACAGTTACTAAGTAATAGTTCGATACCTAAGAATAAATAAGAATATTACCAGGAAAATGAGATTAGATATCTATCGTCAAGGATTCCAGTAACCTTTTCAAGCAGACAGTTGAAGGTGAACAATCGTACACTAAACTGCGCCGCAACATTGAGTTTAGTCAAACACGACCTTATTGTCAACAGCCCGGCAACATGCACCAGTAAAATCAAGTAATGATGTAATTCTCTAACCAAGGCAAAATAGAAAAGTCCAAACAAAAAAGACCGAACAACATAAAGTGTGGTTAAAAGAGACCTGAATAAAGGTTAGAATACAGGACAAAAAAAGGACCAAATAAATAACAATACTGCTCAATAAAATACTTTGAAAGTATTTTCAGTGTGTTCTTTCCGTTATAATGAATGTTGTTTATCTAGAGGAAACAATTAGTGTCGAGTATATAAATATTTAAAGCGAATTTTAAATGTTTATGCTTTGGGATTCTTCGTAGTACTATAGTTCTGCCTACCAACTGCCTCACGCTCACTTATACCACGGTGTTTTAGAACGTGGATAAAGTTGCCTGCATTCAATCGCAGATCTATTATTTTACCTGATGGTAACACTTGACTCTGTTCGAGTTATTTTGCTAATGTTTTTTTTATTGAAATATTTAACAAAGAAGCTCACGGACTTATAAAAAGCTCTTCATTCCAATAATATCAACTACTGATCAACTATGATTTGAAGTAACTACTTAAAGCAGTGTCGGTCGGTGCATCTTACATTTCCTAATTCCTATTCTGTTTTGTCGTAAATATGCTGTTAAAGATAACTCTTCATTTGGTTTTTCACTATTTTGTCTCTTAAATAGAGAGTCTTTCATCAGCTGTGAGTAGTACACTTATCAAGTAGTAGTTGTGTTTGATGGGGATACTCTTAGTAGTGCACTTGCAATAATTTTTATAATCGTAAATTTTCAAAGCTATTTTGTTACTTTTGGACTATATTTCATAAATGTGGTTTTTCACTACCGTCCGAACACTTAGCTTTACAGCTTTTAATTTTTTTCACTAGGACAAAACATGCAGAAATATTGATTAAAAATCCAATTAATTGATTTCTCCATCTTTGCACTCCGCCTGTAATAGACTGATAATCCTGAATTTCGTTTAAGAAATATGTGAGGAAAGTCTTATTTTCTTTAGATCTCAATTTCAAAATAGTTATACTGCATGATGATATTCACGACAGTTGGTTGCAAGTTAATTTATAGTAATGGAATCCGGGAAAATGTTATTTAGTGCATCAAATGATGCAACAATATAGAAGTTCACTTAATATAAAACACTACTTATTGTCTAATTTAGTGGTTTAAAGAATTTTATTTATGACGAAGTCATTTTTCTTTACGGTTTGAAGTCATTTACAGTCGTTGAAAACGAAGAAGTACTAACCTGGGCGATTTGTCAGGAATGCACGTTCGTATCCTTCATATGGGATTCAACCGACGATCTTAAAATTTTGCATCTAAAACGATACTGTTCAATCACTGTGTCAGAATCTAGCGGTCTACGTTTTCTGACTTTAATCATTTCGGAATGTACCACAATCATCTTTGGTAACTTTGATATGCATGTGTCACAGATTTTGGGAAGAACGTCAGAGTGTCAGCGCAGTCTTGCGTACCCACCGGTGATAGAGCCAAAAAGCAAATTAAGCGATATCGGCTAATCTAAACCATAAAATTCCAGCTAAACAACCGAATGGTGTCATACTCATTCTGAGCTTTGTCGAATTAATATTTTGTCCATTATAGGGTCATTAGTAGACACTGTTGCGGAGTCCCAAGCTGAAATGAAACAGCTGTTCAGTTCTATTTAACTCTTAGTGGTTTTTACGAATGATGCCAATCCGCAGTAAAATTTATCATCAAAATGGTATCTATATTGTAAGGTTATTTGCCAGTCCTCTTAAGTCCAGTCACAGATGGTCAGAGAGTCACTAGAGGTTTTTTCATCGAATATTTCATTAAGGAGGTCTATGGCGAATAGGTTCTTCCACGGATATTTCAATTGACTGATTACACATTACACTTTTAAGTAGTTGATTCAGACAACTGGCAAAAAATGTGGCTTGAAGCCTAGTTTAAGAACTTATCTATGCATAAATTGCAAATATTTTGTAAATCCAAAGTTTATAACCTTACGTGTATGTAGTTTGCAAAGCTTTCTAATACTAACTTAAGTGATTTTGTTTATGCTATGCGTATAAAATCAAGTCAGTTATTCGTATAATTCCATTTCGCTTAAGTTCTATATTCATTTTTTTTCTTTATATATATAATGGGGTTATTTTAACATTTCATTTCCGGCTTTTCCACATTATAATTTACTCTTTTTCCAGTAATTGATGTGTCTAATTGTTAAATACTATTTACTTTGATGTATACAATGAATATCAGTGACGAGAAAGCTTTTATTTGCTTTGATATCAGTGATTAAACTATGCATAATGTTTGGTTTTTAATTTTAAAATTCTGATTTTGCCTGATCTGAAAGGACTTTAATTTCTTTTTCCCACTATAGAATTTTTGGAAAAGCATAGCAAAACTGAAGTAACAACTGAAATGGTTGTAGAAGATTTACAAACCTCTGTTAGCAGTTTGTCATCGTCTGGAAATTGGCTTTGCAAGTAAATCTCTTTCTGTATTTTATTTCTTTCAACGTTATTTTACTTTTTTTTTTCTTATCGGTATTATTAAATTAAAGGGAACATTTTCATGCGAAAACAATATTGATTAGATTAACATTTAGAAATTCACAGTATCAGGGCAGTTAAATTATAATATTAAGACTGAATTATGCTTGTGTAAACTGTGATGAAAAAACTGATTGGTTGAAAAGGTCTTGATGGTTGTTATCCAAGATCCTGCTCTCTAAAATAAGAAAACAATCTGTCAGTGTTTTTAATTGTATCATAATTTTAAAATAATATTGATTTACAGAATAAATAACTCCTATGCTTTTTTAAAACCAAAAGTTCATTATATATCCGTGAGAATGCTTAGAAATTTCACTGGGGATTATTTATAATGTGCTTTATTCATCATGTTATGCGAGATAATAATTTTTTAATTCATTGACCACGTACAAATACAATTACACAATTCTCTAAATTCTACCAATACTACCTATTTGACCGAACTGAACGATATGTAGTTGGCTTCGAACTTAAAATTCGAAAGTATGAAAATAACAGTCATCTTTTTATCCTGGAATAAACAAGTTAGGTAAGTAATAAATGCGAGAGATTATCTAGTCAAAGTGAATATTATTAGTATTGGGAGTTTCGTGGTTTATGTCACGTAATGACTTTAGGCAACGGTTGAAAGCCAGGATGCATTGTTTGCAGCAGTACGCATCTAGGACTTCTCACGGTCTCTCAGTGACGAACTTTTAGCCTTTAGAACACTGTGTTCAGCTTTGAACAATAGCCCATTTAGTTAGGATCCAATTTACATTTCAAACTTGAGTCAACTCGCTTTATTGCTCAGTCATCACCCATTCAACCCCTTTGTTGGATAACTGCTTCATTCTCAATTTGGTTGAGTTCCAATCGTCATGACCCTCCACTAAAACCCCTCAGAGTTCAATTCGTGGATACACCTGAGAAGTCCCATTTTAGGATGAAATAATTGTCTTAGGGCTTTCTGGTTTCCAACTGAGTTCAGTTCACAATGTAAATCATGAAAGACTTTTCTATCCATAACTGGTGTTCTTTGTATGTTATTCTGTAATCTTTAGTCATTTTTATTTGTGGTAGAAAATTGGTATGTCCATTATTTTGGTTGGTAATTACTTTTTTTAATAATTGGTTTTTAAAGTATTATCCAAGTCAACTTTAATGTATTTCAATGAAGTACTAATCAGTAACTATGTGTGGTTTGATGATAGATAGGTAAACTGCCTCAAGCTATCAAGTTACTTACTTCCACATTTGGATGTTTTGTTTCGTTTTGAGTACGAAATTAAGACATTGTTTATGTGAATCGAGAAATTGTTCAAACAACTTGATTGATTGTACGTCGTATATTTATTTAATTGACAAATGATGTAGGAATGTGGATATTTTCTCCAGTAAAAATTGATTTTAAGGTATATGCATTTAAGAATTCCCTGCTTCTGAATAAACTCACAACTCCACTCCAGTAAAGATGAAAGCAAATATCTAGTTTGTCAAAAATATCAGTAAATTCTACTGATTATTGATTCGTTAAACTCTGCAGAAACCCTGAAACATCAACCTGATATATCCTAGCGGAGTCATGTGACGTAGTTAGTCTTGTAATTCAGAATCTTAGAAATTATCAGAACTTAGTGTAGTTCACGTTCAGTTAGATATAGTTAATTTGAACTATTATTTAAACTACAGAAAATTGTAATTATAACATGAGAAGTATAACTATATGAAAAATATATGATTAACTTAATGCAAAGTGACTTATCTTTTCAATTCGTTGTTTTGTCTTCCCAGGATTGGCAAAATCCAAGAGCTTATTGATTCTCATCGACTGGCTTTTTCAAATCGTGGAATATAGAACCGATGAACTCATATACTCTCTTATCCTTCATTTTCTCGTCTTTTTTATTCATTCTCTTAAGTGTATCGACTGCTTGTGTTACACTTGTGCTTTGTATGTATGTATGAGTGTTTGTAAATATGATGAATATACTTCAACTAATTTATTCCTGTCTGATTTTCACATTATGCTTAAATTGTTGCTTATTGATCTAGTCACTCACTGTTTAATCAATTGATGGAAAGTTTCTAATGATGATACTATAGGGTTTGTACATTTCATCTTGTTGAATCATATTCATTCATATCTTTATTTCCCTTCCTTCATTCTCTTCACCGAAGTATGTGTATTATCTTCAGTCTATAAAACGATAATGTGCAGTATTATGTATATTTATATATCTGTTTTTCTTCATTTCTTCTTTTTCATTTTCACATGTTTGTGTAATATATTTCATGTGGTTTCATTTAGTCTTAAAAGTAGTAGAATATTAGCAATAATAATGGTATTTATTGTTATTATTATCATTATTTTTTATGATACTGTTGAATTTGTACATGATCTGCAAAAAAGAGAAAAACATAAGTTAATACTGCATTTATTTATTACCATTTTCAAATTCATAAATTTTGAATGAGGCTGGATTGATTTTTGTTGCTACGTGGTAATTAATGTTGGTATTTTGTTTCACACATGTTAATATGATTTCTATAATTTGTTCTTTCTATGTTTCTAGAGGAAAATCAACCCAGAGATATTTTATATTATGTATGTGTGTTTGTGAATAAATGTGAATCTAACAATTTAAAATCGAAGATATTTTACTTTCTATACAAATAAGTCATTCAGTGATCTCAATGTTGTTGTCTCATTGAAATATGGTTGATCTATCATAACAATAATAATAGTACAAATAGTGTTAAACATAAGAATTATTGTATATCCGGTACTGTTAATTCTTATTTTAATTATCATCTAGTAAACATGTCTACATATACAGAGAGGGGTGCGTAGTTATGACAAACTGGACAATTCTAGCCATGATTTTATAAAAAATGAATAGGTCTTTTGTGCAATTTTTTTGCCAATGTTTTAATTAATAAAAATATGTCTTCAATATGATAGCATTTTGATGCACTAATTCCAACGTATATGCATTTGATTGGTTGTTATATTTTTCTTGTTTATCCACATTGTTATATAAGATTGTTAATGTATAACAAACTGTATGTAAAAGAATATTTGTATTTGTAGTAAGCTATTCGTAACCAGTTTTGAAGACGAAAACTTAATCTTTCATTTAACTATCCGTTACGCCTAAATATATTCACACCAAACATCTATGACAGTTTTTTTCTTTTTTAGAGAGATCTAGGATCTCCTTCAATCTTATGTATAGTTTTTTCCTTATATTAGACAGTCCAAAGTTTCTGTTAGTTTTCATTCCGTTCATTGCACCTAAGAGTGTTTCACATGAATTTTGTATATACCTTCGTTTAGTTGGTATTAATCGTTCAATGAATAATGCAAATCATAACAAGACAGCTGATTGCTGTTGGCTAGACTTGTATACTATCAAAAATAATCATAAGTCATCAACTTTTCAAGTTGTTATATTAAATATCGACTACTAAAATTCCTAGTTATATCAACTGTATTAAATATTCAAAGATCAAATTCAGTTGTTATTTACAGTACGATCTTTTTGTACTTCATCATATATGTACATGCAAAGTGACTATGCAGCATGAAATAGATAAACCAGTTTAGTGAATTCATTGGGTACTGTACTATTTATAAAATTCCTTGAAACACTGTTTTACTAAAGATGTATGTTGCTCTGCGGTGATTGAGCATAGCGCTAATTTAGCTGCAGCTCAAATTAAGCAAAATGTATCAGGAAGATTGCAATCATTGGTAAATGAAAAATCAACGTGCATAAAATGACTGTCAACGTTCGTTAACATCCGTCATGACTTCAAACTTGATAAGGACTTTTATCACGAAATGGCTATTGATAATGTCACTATATTCAGTAGAGGTCCCTCTTTTGTTAGACTGGTAACAGAAGTCCAGGATAAAAAACTTAATGGTATGTCCTGGTTGCGTTTTAGTTATTTATTACTAACTTATTACCTTCATGAAACTGACAATCACTTATTTGTTGATTCATATAACAACAAATAATAAATGATATTTTTAGAAATGAAATATTCCAGTGTAAATCGTATATTTGGCGAGAATATATTTATTTAGATCAATTATTTTTATTCAGGTCAACTTGAGCGGTTTTACTATAGTCTTATCACTCAAGGTCTTATTTAGTCCCTCACTCTCTTTACTCTTGATCAATCAACTATGCAGAAGAAAAACACCAAAGCTGTATGGAGAGTTTCATTGTCTTGAACAAAGTTATATCATTTATAGCTCGTACTTTTTTATGTTGTTCAACTGGCAGACATGGAAGGTGACATTGGAATGATGAACACTTCACTTATTCATAATAGTCCGCCTAAACTCAACTCCTAATATGTGATTTTGAGGTAACAGTGGGTCAATTAATCTTTTTTGGTTTATCAAACAGCTTTAGCAGTTGTTTGTTGATCATCTGTGTCTTGTGGGGTTAATCCATTTATGGTAAGAGCGAAATACGATATCTTATGTTAGGAATAGAGAAGACTTACAAAGAGGAAAAGGTATTTTTACTAACAGATTATTTTGAATTATTCATTCGCATCACGTTCTAACTTTGGATAAACTATCATTAATAACCTAAAAGCACTAGGAAGCTAGTCTTTTATTATGGGACTTCTTTGCAGTGACCACCCACAACCCTTCCGGGAATCAGACAGAAGGTATCCAGATCCCACAACATATGAGTTGTCTTCAAACCAGAGATGACAAATAACTTCCGTATTTGTACATTTATAAGTAAACAGTATAAAGCCTGGAAAAATCGTAGTGATCTTTATTAGGTGTTAGATTTCATGAAGCAATGAGAACACATTTGTGATGCGGAGATAATTTACTATAGGAAATAGCGATTTTCTTAGTTACGTGCATTGGTCATTGTTTTCGCATATTACTAGCTAGTATTCATCCAACGAATTGTTTTTTAGCTGATTTTTGTTTATTGTCCAGTAATTAGTAATAGGAAAATGTTATACAAGATTCCACAATAATGTACATTGAATTCAAAAAGGAGATAACTAATAACTGTAAGCTACTGACAAACCGAATCCACGAAAACTCAATACAGATCTACTGTTTTTTTCTTCGATTCATTCTCCGTCTGTTTAATCAGGAAATTAAGGTTTCTGATGGAGTTTTGTTCTATGAGCTGGATGGTTTGGTCGTGGAGCTTTCATCTTCCTTCTGAACGACATCAGCAGCACAAACTTCGAGTAGAAGTGAAGTGTTAGAATTTCTCCACATGTGGTTCATAGCTTGTCCTGTACACTTCTATGTTGCTTGGTTCTTGTTGACCTTAAATCTGTCATTGTTTATTTCGTTGTCTCGGTTGTATCTCCCATAGGTGTGATTTTTGTTCCTACGTTTCTGCATAATTTTCCTGATTGGTTGATAAATTAGATTGATTTCAATACGAAGTTCTACGTTGTGACTGACTGACTGATTTCAATATGCTTGTTTATTGCTGATTAACCTGAGTGCCAAGCTTCTAAAAATTCTCTGGTGATTTTGGAATTGCCTCTATCCAAAATCTTCACATTTTTCCAGTCGAATGTGTGTCCGCAGTTGTCCACGTGCATTGATATGAGTGAAGGCATGTCATAGCGTTTGAATGCTAATTGATGTTCATGCAGCGAAGATGAATAGTGCGTCCGCCTCGTCCGATGTAGTGTTTGTCGCAGTTAGCACAAGTTAGTTTGTAGATGATGTTTGGTTTGTCTTCTTTTGTCATTTCATCCTTTGGTTTGCATAAGATTGAGTGGAGAGATTTTGTTGGTTTGTGAGCAACACCTATTCCGAAGGTTTTCAGTAGTCTCATTATCGTTTCCGATATACCTTTTATGTATGGTAAGGTGATGCTTTTGTTGATTTTTATACTTGATTTCGTTTCTGATGATGGGTGCGGCTGGTATTTTTTGATGAAATTGATTGGGTAACCGATGGTTTTCAGGTATTTTTTCGTGATGTAATTGTGTTGCAGTGTGTCCTCGCCTTCTTGAACACAGTCGGTTTTGTGAGCTCCTGGGTTGTTGCTATTGTAGTTGAGAATTGGATCGGTGTGGGTCAGCTTCCTGTACACTTGAGTCTCCAGTTTACCCGTGTCGGTTTCGGCGATTAATATATCCAAGAATGATAGCTTGCCGTTGAACTCTTGTTCCGTGATGAACTTGATGTCATTGAAGACGTTGTTGATCAGTCTGTAGATGTTTTCTAGTTCATACTTTTTGAGGATGACGAGGTGTACAGAACAAGCTATGAACCACATGTGGAGAAATTCAAACACTTCACTTCTACCCGATGTTTGTGCTGATGATGTCTTTCAGAAGGAAGTTGAAAGCTCCACGACCAAACCATCCAGCTCAGAGGACAAAACTCCATCAAAATCATCCACTTGAGCTACAAATCTTCACCATCTCAAAAATTAAGCTTTCAATAATAATAATAGTAATATCCTTTGAAAGGATTTTTAAACACTTGTATAAACACTTTTCTCAACAATCCGTCGTCAGATAATTAAAAATACGTCGTTTGTTTTATCATCAGTTGTCTATACTAGTGTAGTATATAATTCTACTTTTGATATCAACAACTCACTATTCAAGTTAAACAATTACAGACATTTAATTGTATTCGCTGTAATTTTAATGTTGCTTTATGATTCTTAATATATATAGCATATTTCTAGTAAGATCAGTAGTGTCATGGTGCTATCCGTAGAACAGTAATCAATTAATATCTGATTGGAGGTGGTGAATTCTAAGAAATAGATTATCGGATTTCAGTAAATGATTTCACTTCAACCAATCGATAATGGTATAGATCAAAAC